AACGTCGCTTCAACAAGTGAGTTTCTGGCTAAAGCAATCTCTCTTACTAGAAGTGCCTCGAAGCCCTAAACCTCTTCTCGTCGAGTAGGCGTAGGAGGCGTGAAGATTTAATTGAGGGGCACAAACTCCTAAGAGGTTTTCTGGATGTACTAGAGGGTGCGCTGTTCAAACTGAATGAAGCAACGAATCTGAGAGCGCACGCTCTGAAACTGGCTAAGAAAAGTGTGATGACTCGCATGAGAGCGTCGTATTGGCGCCCAGAGTTGTGAATTGTTGGTATAGGCTGCCGGATGAAGTCATTGCTGCCAAATCGAAGACAAATTTCAAGTGCAGGTTAGACACTGAATGGAATAAGGTGCTCGAGGGGGGAATACTTTGTACAGTTTTCACGCAGCTGATCCGAGGGTTATTTTATTTTTAATTTTTTCGCAGCAGTTCCTCAACCCACATCTTCCTCTCCACTTTCTAACTTCATTCTCTCCGAACACTTCCTATCTCCTCCCTCACTATCTCTATGGACTCCAGGCTTGTCTCTTACTCTACTGCCTAAAACGTCACTCATCACATTCCTCTAAATCCTTAGTCTCAATGGCTGGCCGGCCATTCGATGAGTCTGCAGGTTGCAACACCATTTCTGATAAAACCCTCGGACTAGAGCCCTGCGAAGGCGGGTCCACCCTGGTCGTTTTACACTGTTCATTTAATTGAAGAAGAGTTTTCTCTTCCTATCGTCATAGCATCAAAGGATCCACGGAACCCATTGATGCAAGAAGCTGAACAAACTGGCCCGCCGACGCTACGTCCTTTTAACTGACTTAACCTGACCTGACCTACTCACTCGGCTGCTGAACCCGAGACCCAAGATAGCGTGAATAGAGAGCCCGGAAACCCGTCCACAGGAATACGTAGGGTACACTTGGCGGTGAGCTGGCGCCATATTGATATGTTCAACGGGCTGCCCTTGAAAAATATTAAACAGATTGGTTGGGGGTATATCACTCGTTTCTGTGCACCTTTACATATTTGTTTTTATCACCCCGTAAAAGGGAACTTAGAAATCCAGGTTTCTCATATTTTAACTTATCTAGAAAGTGTACTCCAGTCTTTGTGTTTTTGGAAAATTCCATTCCATTTTGTTCAGCTGCAAATTGCATCTCCTTATTTCATGACATCTACTCTGCTTCATAGCCAACTTAGCTTTGAAGACTCGAATGAGATTACTTTTCCCATGCGGCATAGTCCCTTAGACAAAGATGCTGACACCTTTAGAATGTGTCTAGACGATACCATAATCAAAAATTCCCCTTTTCACAAGGACGCGCAGCAAAGCCACAAGTGGAAGAGATAGCAGACACGAAGGCTCTTATTTTACGGCTTGAACAACAGCTCTCGAATCTTGGGTTGTTCATCCAAAATAAGCTCCAACAGAAGCCGCCTCGCAAGTGACTAAGATATCAAAACAAGATATTCTAGAACAAGGCAAAAAGCTGACAATTGAAGAAGTTTGCACTGGGAGGGCGATACTATGGGGCCATTTTCCCAAAGACCGTAGCCCTTGCCAGATGGCAAAAGCCTTCCTAGGAAACGACACCTACCGAAAATTGCCGAACCCTTGTAGCTACATATAACTATTCTCAAAACACAAGAAACGGGTTCTGGGACTAGTATTGTAGTTTAACCAATCAGCAGTGGTTACGGACTGCATTGCACAAGGGCAGAAAATCCACTTCAAAGACAAACTGGTGAGGGGAGTGGCACCAGACAAACTCCTCCCCACAAGAATACCACCATGATCCCCTAAGGGCTGGTAAGAAGATGGTAAACTTTTACGTGAGTTTTCGATAAATCTCACGCACCTTTTTATCCCTGCTGACTCTCTGATCTTCCACAATCCCCTCCTCGAAATATCCTCTGTATCTCTAAATTGCAGCTCCAAGAATACAAGCTTCTGCTGTGGGAAGGACGATGAGCCTACTCTGACTGCTGAGCAAAGCTTCCTATAACCTACTTCCAGGCTTACTAGTAAGCAAATAAAACCCGTTTGCAGGAACAACAAAATAACTCACCAAAAGTTTATAAGCAGAAGCTGCACTAACAAGGAAAAGTGACAACGTGCGAAAAGAGAAATTCTCGGGAGTCCACCGCTTCCCATACCTCAAGTCACTCCATCTCGACGAGAAAATCCCCCTTAAACAGTGAGCCATCTCCNTCTCCCCACTCTCCCTAGAGAATCTGCCACCTAGTCACACAAACCTGAGCCACTGGTTCCAACAACCACCCCACTGATGTCCCTAAACCTCAAAACCTCACAAAAGCTGCCGCCTTCTTTTTTCCCAAAGCAGCCAAGGTGNCCAGACTAGAAAGCGCCTCATGGGATGAAGGAGATAAAGCAGACAAAACCCTCGGGAACTTCCCCCGTACTCGGACCGCAGCAACCCGAAAAGTGCGCAGGAGCCAAAACCATAAATCAAGAGCAAGGGGAAGGAACCGTCTCAAAATGTAACTCCAATGGATACCCAGGCTCAAGACGCCCTTTTTATCTCAAATCTGGTAAAACTTCTGATGAGCAAGTGCTAAAATACATGTAAACCAACTGTTAAAACCTTTTCATCTTATACATAAATTACCTCCCGGACAAAATCTTAGTCCAAGTTGATATTTATTCTGACGATGTCACAATCTGAGGTAATGACACATGAGCAGAGCAGGCAGCCATAGATATCATCAAAGCATGATCATCAGACTGGAGCCTACCAACAAATGATGA